AATTCCCAGCCATCATTTAGAGATGGTGCCAGAATTAAGAGTTACCCAGTTTCTATTTAAATAATTTCCCCTGGTTTAGGTTAACACTTCATTGTTTGCACTTCAGAATTTAAGAGAATCCAATACTTTTAACTTGAGAACGCTAACATCTCCTTTACACTGCTTAAACCACTGGAGTTGCTCATTCATCTTAATCTTCTGACAAATATAAGATGCTTTTACTTAGTTGTAGCTCAACTTCTTCATGTGATTTAATTTCATTTTGTTTCACTTCATTTTGCTCTTAAGGGACATGGAAGGGGAGACAGTGGAAACCATTTATATTACAAGCCATTTATATTATCTTTCTAAAGTACAGCAGAATAATTTTGCCTGGTCTGTTGGGCCAGGTAGAAAAGTGATGACTGCGGCCAATCAACAGTCTTGTCACTATCAGAGTAAAAGTAAAAAAAGATTAAATCAATCTCAAAAAATGTGATGTATTATTCTGAAGTACATGAAAACTTTCACAAAAAACACATAGATCTTTCCAATTTGAAATGAAAGACCAGTTTCAGAAATGAGCTTAAGAGTCAGCTAATTTTTTTAAGCATAAAAGACATTCATGTCAGAATATAATTTTTGTTTCTTTCAATAACAGTATAGATGTACACATACACAGTGTATAAAAAGTGAAAGAATTTGTTTTCCCTTTCAAAATATTGAAGTGCATTTAAATTCCCCTATTTTAGTACCCTCTGTATTTCTGTTCTCTTACATAAGGTTTAAATTAATGCAGTTTTTTAAGGTGCATTCTTGATATTATGTACTTCCACTTTATATGACTTTGTTCAGAGCCACACTATATAATCACACCATATAAATAATAAATAACCATATAATCATAAACCAATTTTTATGGACCAAATTGAGCTTAATATCATGCTAGGTATATTATAACTCAAAGGATATAGACTTTGACATAGCCCTCCGAGAACTACAGAGTAAAAAAAAACATTCAAGGCATTAGATTTTGAAACAGGAGAGAAACTTAAAACCAGTTCAGCAAAGGTCAGCAAGGTATTCCCATCATTTACAGGTCAGGAGGGGGTGTAATTAGAGGAGAGAGATAAGGCTGAGTATGTAATTTGAATGGAGATGAGAGAGTAGATAGGAAACTCTTATATAGGTAGTGATTGTGTTGGAGCAAATTTTTCCATTCCAGTGGAATATTTTTATTACTTTTATTTAGTGGGTTTTTATTTAGCACATGCTGTGTGCATAATACAAAGGGGTTGTAGGCTGAGGGCAAGAATTAATCAGACTCACTTCCTATCTACTGATAGGAAAGATAATGATACACACCAAATGGTCATGTAAAGCTTCAGTGTCGGGAACACTGTTCATCTATTAACAGTTCGAGATGTGTAGTAAATATCCTAAATGTAAAAATGAGAAATATGGTAAATGAGAGCTATATGATTTATTTTGTTATAAGACTTAGTAAAACCGAGAAAGGGCCCTTGAAGTGGTAGAGCTTTCCAGAGAAAGAAGAATTAAATGCTCACAGTCAAAGAAGGAAGAGTGTTCCAAATCAAAGAACAGTAAGTTCTCACTCCAGCAACATTTCGCTAAAAGTTTTCAAGAAAAACCACTCACTAGATATCTGTCTCAGAAAGAGGAAACATGGCCTTGGCCATGGCGGTGTGTTTCCTCCTTTTGAGAGAATCGGAATGAACCTCTAACCATGACCTTGTCTTCCTGGGGATTAGACCCCTCCCCCTGCCTTGCATAAGTAGCAGCCAAGAGGTTTGGGAATGACTGACTGCAGCTACCAGCCAGGGTAAAGCTCCATGATCCATCCCAGGAACAAGGAGTAATTCAGGAGTTGTACAAGTAGAACACAGCTTAGGACATGTTTTCAAGAATTTGACAGAACAACCCTTTCTTTCTGCATGACTTAATGTTCAGAATTTAATACATAATTTTCCAATATTAGAAAAACAAGTCTAAGAATAAGAAGTATAGGTGAGAGAAAAGCTAAGAGATCCATAAAAAAATGGAATCATGGTTAAACTTCACCTGGCATTCATCCTAAATTTGACCTTTTCAAAAATGTGACCCAATGAACTGCTTTTATTATTTATACATTGTATCTTCTACTGCTTGCAATAGAAAAACATTATAGTATTTCTATCTGTTAAAGTCTCCTAGAATTCCAATGTATAAACAAAACAAAGTTATACTATTACAAATCCTAAAGAACAATTTTTGAATTTCTTAACAAAATATTCAAAGACAAAAATACTTATGTCTTAAAAAGACAAAAATACTACAACTCTCAAAAACATTGATAATGAAAATTTATGAGTACATAGTACTAGAATATAGAAGGAACTATCACTAAATAGAATGTTAATGGAGTTGGTTAGATGAAAGAATAAGTCATCTACTTACTAGATAAAAAGTCGGAAAAAAATTGACCCTCCTTCACTATCTGTCCCTAGTTTAGAGATACATGAACTTGACTAACAAGATAGTTGCACCACTTAATAGAAAAGGTGATAACTTACCTAAGGCTTTTACCACAATGCCTCACACAACAAATTCTGATAAATATTGCTGTTGTTAATATTGTTATTACCTGGTTGTTTGTGCTTGGGGAGGGTAGGCTAAGTTTACTACAATTCTTATCTTTTTGCATTTATTTCTGGTTCCCAGAAAACAATAAAGCAGAAGTTGGCATAAAGAAGTAGATAGCAAGGAAAAACAAAAACAAAACAAAACAAAAAGGCAGAAGGTAGTTCATACAAATAAGTTATTAGAGACACTGGAAGGACTGACTACATGCTAAAGTTACAGTTTCTTTTGTGGCCATGGAGAAGGCAGAGCAGCAGGGCAGAGCCTAGACCATGGGGACTGAAAGCAGACTTGCTTCGCCTACCAGGGGTGTCAAACTCACTTTCACTGGGGGTCACATCAGCCTCGCAGTTGCCTTCCAAGAGCCAAATGTAATTTTAGGACGGTATAAATGTAACTACTCCTTAGGGGCAAGGAGCTTGGTGCTGCCACTGGGTAGAAATAAAGTGCCAGGCTGGATAAAACGAGGTGGAGGGTCAGATTCGGCCATGGGTCGTGTGTTTGCCACCTGTGGCCTAGACCATATGCATGTAAACCTATTTTCTACCTTTGGATCTGAGATGACTAGTACCCAGAAAAGGAAGGGGGTAAAGTCAAGGGAAATCCACATTCCTTGTCTTTGGTGAAAGCAAACATTAACAGCTCCTATCAAGAATGAAAAAAGAAAAACAAACAGGATCTAAAAAAAAAAAGACTATATAATATGTGTGTTGATAGTACCAAAATTTGGATATTTGACCATTTCCGGTTTTAAAAATAAGTTTGTATGACTCATAGAAAAGAAACAATGGGCTGGAATTTCAAAGGATAGCATCCCTGAAAATTACTTACTACAAAAACTATAAAGTAACACATATCTGGTGGCATCTCTATAAGACGGAAGAAAAGGCTGTTAAAAAATGAGCAAAAAACAAAAAAATTCAGTAGACTGAAGTCACTGACAACAGGATATGATGGAAAGGGAGAGCATCAGGGTAAGAAATGACAGTAGGAAAATATTCTTAAAAAAATAGTATAATCAGAACCAGTGTTGGAGGGTTGGAAGGAGTAAGTTGTAACAGGATGTTGTGAAACACAGCCAGTGATACCCAGTTGGGGTAACCAGATGTTCCAGATGTCTCAGTTTGCCCAGGACTTCCCAGGTTTAGCACTAGAAGTCCCTCGTCTCAGGAACCTGTCTGTCAGGGGGAAACTGAGGCAGCTGGTCACTCAAACCTGCAGTTTTCCTCAGTGTGGGGGGCAAGGATAAAAAGGAATGAAAAATAAAGGACCCAACCAATGATTTAAATGTATTCCCAAAAGGAAAATTGGTAAAAATGAAAACATAAGTAATTATAACAAGCATTAAAAATGTGCAGATTTAGGAGGAGAAAAAAGCAAGCACATTGAAACAGTTCACCAAATTTAGTGAAGAAAAACTAACTGATAAATTAACATGTCCAGGCAAGTTTTTGAATTGCAAAATAAAACGTCGAACAAATAACTAGGCAGTAAAAAAAAAAAAAAGCAGTGCTTAAATTTTAATGAACTAGAGTAGAAAAATATAAAATTTATTTAGTTTTAATTCTAATCACTTTTAAGCAACAGAATAAAATGAAGAGATGAAAATAGACATAACATAATATTTTTAAATTGAAAGAAATTCATGTAGCACTGTGTAAAATTTGAAAATATTTGTATTATAAATAAAATTTCAGAAGGTAAGAATGTCAACAAATAAAGGATGAATAATAAGAGTAAAATTGAAGTATTATTAAAGTTGCTTCTAAAATGGGGTTCTGGTTAGATATTTTACTGTTGAGTTTTCATTAAACAATTATAGGAAAAGGTATTTCCTACACTATATCTTCTAATCCAAATATATACAAAACTAGAAAATATCATATTGCTAGCATAATACTGATATCCAAATCTGACAGATATAAGCCAGAATAGGCTAATCTCACATAAGAATATGGATTTTAAAAACCTAAAGTAGGTATTAGTTAACTGAAATCTTGCAGAGTCAGTCAAAGTGTGGGGTTAACTGAAATCTTGCAGAGTCAGTCAAAGTGTGGGGTTTGAGCCACCCTTTTCTAGAAAGTGGAATTTATAAGGTTAAGTACCAATTTGCCACATTTTGTGTAAACAGATCCTTGTCTTTAACTATGAGTGACTGGATCAGGGTAAAGACTTGAAACATTCTCTCTCGAAAATCAGACTGATGTGGCATAGTGACTTAAAATTTAGGGCTGAAAGTTATTCACATGAGAATTCTCAAAAGAAGTTCCCTTTCTCTCAGTTCCTTGAACTTCGGCTGTTTATTTCTTGGTATACGGGTCCCAGGTTTATTTTCTGATCCATTCCTTGCTCTCTTCCTGCTTCTTTTCTGTTCTGTCTGGACTGCACCATGGCGGGGCTGACTTCTGTATATGCTGTTTCCTAGGCTTCCATATCAGTACTCCTTCTGAGTTCAGCCAATGTGAGCTACAGATGGAAGAATGGAGGGTGAGTGTGGTGAGAAACCAGTGCGTCTCTCCCTGCCTGTGCTCATTCTTTCTGCTTCAAGGGATATCTTTGGCTCTGGCTCTACCTTTTCCACAACCAGCTCTTATCAGGCACACCCCTTATGGTTCCAGCTTCTGCATGAATCAGGTCCCTACATTCTGGTAATACCACCCCCTCTCTTTGTTCTTCCAGACATTGGGGTGGTAATGGCTACCTGTTGTTGCTATTATCTGTGTTATCTCAATAGTCAACGTTCGGATTACTAGCTCTTCCATCACTTGTGTAACTAGTTTATTCATTGATATATTAATTTGTATTCTGTAAACCACAGATAATGATACAGGATTTTCTAAACTTCAAGAGTAATGATATTTTCAAAATGCCATACTTTTATGATATAAGCACTCTTGAAGTATTAACTTATACATAACTCATCACCCTGTTTTTCTTCTACTTCAGCCTAGTCAGCAAAGAGCACCCATCTGCAGGTAAGCATGCAGAACTAGCAGATCATCTTAAAAACATTTTGGTTTTTTTGTTGCATTCCTTTGTCCAATGAGATATATCAGAAAAAAATACTGCTATGATATAAATCCAGTTTTTAATTGGATTGGTTGGTTGTTTTGGTGTTGAATTTTGTAAGTTCTTTGCAAAACTTTTGTGAATATGTTCTCCCATTCAGTAGGTTGTCATTTCATTTTGTTGATAGTTTCTTTTGCTGTGCAAAAATTTTAGTTTGATGTAGTCCCACTTGTTTATTTTTTTCTTTTTTTTCCTAGCTGAGGAGCTATATCAGAAAAAATATTGCTACAAGGAATATCCAAGATTTCACTGCCTATGTTTTCTCCTAGGACTTTTATGGTTTCAAGTCTAATATTTAAGTGTTAAATCTATTGCGAGTTTACACTTGTGTATAGTGCAATAAGGCAGTCCAGTGTTTCTTTTTTCGCACCTACCTGTCCAATTTTCCCAATACCATTTATTAAATAAACCATCTTTACCATATTGTATGTTTTTTCCTCTTTTGTCAAATACAAATTGAACAAAAAGGTATGGGTTTATTTCTACAACTCTATTCTGTTCCATTGATATATATATATGTATATAATGCCAGTACCATACCATGTTGTTTTGATTACTATGGCCTTGTGGTATAATTTGCTATCAGGCAGCATGATTCCTCCAACTTAGTTCTTTTTTCTTGAACTTGCTACAGGAATTCAGGGTCTTTATGGTTCCATATAATTTTTAGAATATTTCTTCTAGTTCTATGACATATGTATCTTGACAGGAATTGTGTTGAATCTATAGATTGCTTTGAATAATATGAACATCTTAATGATGTTTTAATTCTTCCTATCCATGAATACCGTATACGCTTTCAATTATTTGTATATTTTCCAATTTTTTTCTTCAATGTCTTATAATTTTCCAAGTAGAGGTCTTTTATATTTTTGATTAAATTTATTCCTAAGTATATTTTTTGATAGAATAGTAATTGGCATTGTTTTCTTATCTTCCATTTCTAACAGTTCACTGTTGGTGCTCTAGGCTGGGGAGTGTGGTGTGGGGTTGAATACTCACACTCTTCAGGGGAAAACTGTTCAATTGAGATATCCCTCCACAATCTCAGCTGCTACTCATGTGAGTGAAGGCTCTTTTTGCATCTCCACCCTTCCTACCAGTCTCTATGTGGTTTCTTCTGTAAATTCTTGGTTAGAACACTTGTCTTCAGTGGTTATTCAGGTTGATTATTCTATATTTTAGTTGCAGTTCAAGTTTGGTCCTGGGAGGTGAATGTAACATCCACCTATGCCACCAATTTGGATCCTCAACAATGGGTAAAGTTTAACTTCTATAATGCTATTTCTCTTTCTGTCTGGTACATTTTCATAACTGGCTAAGCTCAAATACTTAAATACTTTCAGTATCTTCCCTTGGTCCTTTTGCTTGAGAAAATTATTCCTATTCCCAACTACCAGATCTGTAGTCTGTACTAAAATGACTACTACATCTACTATTGCTACTACTACAACTACTAAGTTCTCATTGAAAGGTTATTCTGACTAAGCAATTTGTTTATTGCCTCTTGTTTAATCCTCAACCCCTCTAGATTAAACAGTAATATTCTCATACTACAAATGAAGAAATTTATTCATAAGAAGATGAATAATCCCTGTCTGGTGTGACTCAGTGGATTGAGCACGTGCCTGCGAAGCAAAGGGTCACTGGCTTGATTCCCAGTCAGGACACATGCCTGGGTTGCAGGCCAAGTCCCCCGATGGGGGTTGTGTGAGAGGTAACCACACATTGATGTTTCTCTCCCTCTCTTTCTCACTCTTTTCCCCTCTAAAAAGAAATAAAAATAAAATCTTTAAAAACAAGAAGATGAATAAATTTTCTCTGTATCTTGTTGCTTCTCATACATATATTCATTCAGGCATTTATTTATTCATTCGTTTATTAATTTTTTATCACTGATTATGTCTCCTGCCTCATTTTCTGTCACTCTCACCTTGTTCCACTCTAGCCAAACAAGCCTATAATCTTATCCTCAAATGAATCAATTACTTCAATTTCAGAGCCTTTGCACACGCTCCTTCTACTCTCTAGAATGCTCTTCCCTGTGATGAATGGACGGTTTGCTCCTATACTTCATTGAGGTCAAATGTTCCTCCTCAGAGGTATTCTCTAAGATACTCCAATTCACTAAGATACACCTCCTCATATTAATTGTCACCTTCCTTTTTCTGCCTTATTTTTCATAGTGGCTCCTTCACCCGACACTGTTGAAGATAATTATTCCTCTAAAAATACTGATTACCTTCTCCATGACAGAAAGTTTGCTAGATATGAGTAGGGCTATGAAGGAAACAAATCAAGCCCCTTTTCTCAATGAGAGTACATTCCTACTGGAAGACAACGCAGAGTGAGAGTGAGGTCAAGGTCACAGGGCTATGTGGGAAGACATGGGGGAGGCTCATCCCATAAATGTCAAAGGGGTCAAAAATCATTCAAGTGCAAATAGTTTATTTGGAAGATGATCCTAGGAATTATTAATACAGAAGTGGATATGTGAGACATGGAAGAGGAGAGAGCCAAAAAAAGTATTATTACTGAGCAAGATATCACTGTGAACAAATAAGAGCTTTATTCTTTGAAAAACACCAGGTGGTGGTAAATATATCTCAGAGATATCCCACTAGCTGGAAGAGGGAGCTAAAGTTGTTATACATCATTTTGGTTAGTGATTTGGTCAGGGAAGCTTCTAGGAGTGGATGGGGAGAATGTTAACTCCTGAGCATTTCTAGACTGCTGAGAGCTAAGAGGGTTCTGGAAGTGAAAGAAAGCATTCAGGCAAAAAGTTACAGGTTTTATAGTTCAAGCCCTCGATTTGGTCATGCATGAAAATCGTGCCAGAATATATGGATGGGGCACCAACCCTGTCTGCCACAGAGTGTCACAACTTGAAGACATGCATTACTAGGTAACTGTAAAATGATACAACTGCTTTGGAAATGATTGGGCATTATCTAGTATTATTGAAGATGTGCATACACGTGATCCCAAAATTCTGTTCCTTTTTATATAACCAAGAGCAGCTAGTTTTTGTCAACCAGCATAAATATTTTTAGAACAGCCATAATGGCATTAATGTAATAGCCCCAAACTAGAAGAAATTCAAAGGTACACCAAAAGTAGAATGGAGAAATAAGTTGTGATATATTCATAGAACAGACTGAAAATAAATAAATCAAAGCTAGAAGGAAGATGATCAATCAGAGGAAGTAGAAAAAGTATCACTTTACAAAATACAGTACAAGAAAGGAAAAAAATTTAAAAGTCTAGAACTTGTAACCTGATTGTATCTCTTATATACGTAAGTCATAAGAATGTATGTATATATGTAAGAACCAGTAGTCATAAGAATGTATTGCTCTGAAGATAATAGAGGGTTCCTATAAATGAGAAAATCTAAATCTGTTCACCTTTAACAAAGAGTTTTGTATCCAGATATACAGATAAAATTAAGCTTTAGACACCACAGAGAGTGCCTGGTACATAATTGGTGCTAAAAGTATTTCTTAAATGAATTTAATTTTTCTCTATCTAGCTAACCTGGCATCCATTAGTCCTTTCAGAAACCTGAAGAGCCCCTAGATTTACATGTCCAAACCACTTTTCACTTTTACTAGAGAGACCTGGCTTTAGTAGACAAAACCAATTTAGCCAATAAACCAGCTGGTTTACCCAATCACAGTGAAAAAGGGCAAGATGATCCTCTACTGAAGTTAGCTTCTCTCAGTTTAAAGAATAAGCAATCTTCCCTATCATTTGTCTATAAGGCATGTATCTGCTCAATTAAATTCCAGGCAACCTTTGAAAGAAATGAAAGAGACTGGAATCTCTCGGGGACCACTATATCAGACACTTGACATGCATCATCTCATTTAATTCTCACAAAATTCTGTAAGGTAAATATTATCTCACTGTACATGTAAAGCAGCTATAGATAGACAGATTAGATGATAGATGATGATTGATAGATAGATAGATAGATAGATAGATAGATAGATAGATAGATAGATAGATAAGATAGATAGATAGCACACAGCACAGTTTTTAAACAGATGTAGAGTGGGTGACTTTCTCAGAGTTATACATCTGATAGTACCGTGGGTGGAATTCTTCTTTCCCAAACTCCCTGAGTGGACTCTCTCATACTGGTGGTCAGTGACGTGAGCACAACTCAAGAGTGGATAAGTATAATTGGCTTAGTTTCTAAAATACCCATTTGGGAAAAATAACCGATCAATATATGCCTTTGAAAGTATATTGTATTATTACTACCTAGTGTATTTGTTATCTATTGCTGCATAACCATATCACAAACTCAGCAGCTTAAAACAACAAATCATTATTATCTCAGTTTCTGGTGGTCAGGAATCCATAGCTTAACTGGGTCCTCTGCACATGGTCATTGAGCTGGCAGGTAGGGCTGTGCCCTCAACTGAGGTTCATCTGGGTAAGGATCCCCTTCTAAACCCACATGACTGTTAGAACTCACTTCCTTGTGAGCTATCAGACTGAGGGGCTCGATTTCTTGCTGGATATTGGATAGTGGCTGTCCTCAGCTCCCTGTTGTGTGGCCTTCTCTAACCTAACAGCTTCCTTCACCAAGCCAGCAAGGAAGAGTCAAAGGGTAGAGTCTGCTAACAAGCTGAAACTTACTATCTAATGTAACATAATCATGTAAGTGACAAACCATGCACTTTGCTATATTCCATTGGTTAGGAACAAATCACAGTTTCTGCATACACTCAAGGAAAGGGAATCACACAAGGGCATGAAGACCAGGAGCAGGGATAACTGGGGACCATCTTAAAACCTGTTGGTCATACCCATTGCATGATGGATAGTCACCAACCACCACATTTACCCTTCTAAGGACAGTGGTTCCCAGAATGTAAAGAGAAGAAATGGGTTCAACACTGCCTGCCTTTGTGAACCTTTCCAAATCCAAGTGTGTCATTAACAGACCTCCCTGGAAAATCAGGTCTTCATACACAGTCCAACTGGAAGGCAAGTTCATTCAGGGCTATTGGACTGACAACGAGATCTCTCACATTTCATGTTTTATATTTTGAGGCACTCTGAGATACGGTGGCATCTCACTGATTCCTACAATAACCGTGTGCAGTAAACAAGGTGGTTATTATCAACCCCCATTTAACACTGGAAGGCATGTTAAAATGGGCTGAAGAAAGCCTCCACCTCCACAGGGCAGCCTATGTCCAATGACTGGTCCATACAAAGAGTATGAAGACCAGCTCTGTTTCTGTAAAATACATTATTAGAGGTGAAATTATTGAATAAAAATTTAAGAACTCTTTTCAGCCAGTCAAATATATGACTGGGAAACTATATATATATATAAAGATATATTTAAAAACTATATTTATATAGATATAGATGATATAGATATAGATATAGATATAGATATAGATATAGATATAGATATAGATATAGATATAGATATAGATATAGATATAGATATAGATATCTTTCCACTTGAAGAAATTATCCACAGCAATGGTCCTGAGCTTTCTTACTTGCTGGAAATTGCTATCACCTTTATGATGTTGTAAAAGTAAAATAAGCACAGGAACTATAAATTAGCTAAGACTATGTTGTCAGACTGGCAGATTTCTGAAAACTCAGATGGTAATATACATGGGAATCTCTTCATCTCATGAATGAGATGTACTGTGTTTCTTAATCATTTTATTCACTCATTCAGTCAGTCTGTTTCTTTCACAATTTCTAACCTCTAAAGTCAATACTATCCCCAATATATATTATGTTGTGATGTTTGGCAAATGACTGTACTTCCTACAGGTCAGTTTTCTCATCCATAAAACAGAAATAATGATATCTATCGAATTCAGTTACTATGATGAGTTAATAGATGCATAGCACACAGCACAGTTTTTAAACATTATTGCAAGAAAATAATTTCTAGTTTGATTTTCTCCCTTTCTTTCGAGTTTTTATTTGCTGACCACTTACTTCCTAAAAATTCACCCCAATGTGTGTGAAATAGCCCCAGTTTTTGCTGTCCTGGATAATTATTAATAGCACTTCCTTTTCCTCTCAAAAATGCCCTGGTTTCAATGATAAATTAGAGTCACTCCACAAATGGCCTACTGAGTGTTGAGGCACAGATCCAGAGAACTTTCTGCAAAAGTGTTCCACACACAGATTATTTGGCTCTTTAAGTTGGGATAGCTTTCAGGAAATCAAAATTCAAGCAGTGAAAAGACAGTGTTTAATAAGTCAGTGGCTATTAGGAATTTATCTCTCGCTTTTAAGAAAGAATGACTCATAGGCGACCCTGCCCATGGGTGGAAAGAACAGAAATTTTGGAAAGGACAGCTGTTGGGGGAAGATTTATAAACTCTTTGAAAATACCTTCTTTTTACACTTTTATTGTAAGTGATTTCTTTATGAGCTATCATTATTAATAACTGGTTATCTCACACCTAGTGACGTTTTGACTCCTTGATGAGAAATTTCTAGCTAGAAAGAGAAAACAAGGATTAACAGACTCTTATTCTGAAGTCTTTTGTAACATACTTTAAGTATTCTTGGTGTTACCATCCAAAAAATGAATGAAATTACCAAAAGATACTGAAATAAGATAAAAATGGTTATGTCTAGACCTACAGAAGACAAAATTTAAAATGGAGGCAGTAAATAGAGTCATGATCCTTTAAAAAAAGATTAACAATGTTTTAAGTCAAAAATTAAAAGTTCACATATTTAAAAATGGCTAGGAGA